TAAGCTAAAACATATTAAAAAAATAATAATTTCAAAGTGAACTATCCCTTTAAATCTCAGATTAAAACGCATTATGTGTAGAATAGATTTTAGTGACTTGATTTTTTTTATCTGTATGTCTGTGTTTTTGCATAGCTTTGTATTTTACTGTCTTGCTTTTATGCTGTATGGAGTCATTGAGTGTTAGTCCACCTATAAATTAAAGGTATTATTATTACTATTTCCCACTGATACACTACAGCAAAATATATAAAAACTGTCTTAAAATCATTTTTTGAGGGTGATAAAACTAACTAAGACATTGTCACGGAACTAATACACACACACACACATATATATTTATTTATTTTTGCATGCAGAAGAACGTGCAAGATTGATTTTTATTAAGATTGACAGGATGATTTTCATCAGTGTTTAACTGTTTCCACTTATGGCAAGATCGACAACATTTTGTGTCCGAAAACTTTCTCTGAACCTTCCTTTGCTGTTTGAGATTCATGTCAGGAGCATGCAGTTGTGCTCCAGTAATGTTTATTTTTCCATTACCACTCAAACGTCACCAAATCTGAGACAGCTGCCACTTTCCTGTGGGAAGTGCTAGAAACCTCCTCCGAGTGTGTCGCCATGATATATCTCCCGCTCCGTCCTTTGACTGAGTATTCTTTACGGCCTTGTCTTTCAGGGAGACGCCCGGCAGCTCCACATTCTGCCGAGCGCTGATGTTAAATCATGTCATCTCCCAGAAGCATAGGAAGAACAGGCGTGTCACCCGCCAACGCACAGCACTGTGGATGGAGTGGGGGGTGCACTCAAAATATCACAATATACCTTATTCAGAGCAGCGGCATGACAGGTTTGAAAGCGAGGGTGTGAAGGAGACTTACCGTGTTTTCAATGGCATTTGCTGTTAAACCTGTATAAAGCTCCTACCTAGATATTTTATCATTTCCTCAAGCTCATGTTATCTGGAGTTTTTTTGTCTACTGAAATTTCTTGGAAAGTTGTTTTTGCTGTGTTTTGTCAGCAGAACAATCGAAAAACACATTACCGTAAATAACAGTACAACTCCCTGAAGACATGCATGTCTGTCTTGCTTTCATTCCTGTTTAAAAAATCAAAGATGACACTGCTGCGAATAAGGTCTATGGCAATGAATATTTTATTCTTCTTACTTTCCATGTGTTGGGGTAGCCACTGGTGTGAATGGGGAGCATTTGAGGATATTGATTGTTGTTTTGCTCTGAGCTGTACTTCGGCATGTGGGTATTGTAAATGCAGCGTTTTTCACAGACAGGGGCATTTGTTTCCCCTTGCTTGAGGGCAGAACGATCCCGAGCTCTATTGCTCTCTCAGTCAAACTGTCAACCTGCTTGTAACACTTGTTGTCATTGAGGAGTACATCTGCTGTTGCAGAGTATATTTAAAGCAGCAAAGAAATTGATCAAAAGGTTGTTGTGGTCATAACATGGCCTGCCACTTTTATTGGATTGAGACAGGAATGGGATAAGGTCTGGTTGGTTCCTAACCTGTGTGAACATCTGCAGTAAACTCATGGCAAGGCTATGGCTCTGATAGTTAGGCCTTCTACTTCTGTGCTACAACTGGCGCTCAACCAAGACTTCACATGATCCAAGACTGGGGCCCAAATTGTGTACTCTGTGTCTTGCAGTTTTCCTATGTAGTAGTGATGTAATGTAGTTTAGATATTTGCATAGTAATCGAACTGACCACCCTAGTGAATATTTGAACAGCTGACACTGCCTCAAACTTGCACATTTTGGATGTCTACCTCATCTAACACATTCAACTCATCACAAGACTTGAATTGAGTGTGTTCAATGAGGAAGAAAGCAAGATGTGATGTGGTAGGGACAAGTTCGAGAAGCACTGCTCTATAGCAAGGGTGCAGAATAGACACCCCTACAATATGGTTACACTACTCACAAGCTTGCTTGATTTAAGGGGACGTGATCTCTGAGAGAGCGCTCAACCCTTCCTCTATACTTGATGGTTAATCAAATGTTGTCTTCGGGATCTTCATCCACACGTTTAGAATAGCTATGCATTGCATCTCCATACTTTTATGAGTCTGTGTTTTCATATCTTGAAGTGCCTCATCTCAAGCAGTTCTTATCTTCTGTCGAGGCCGTGGATAATTATATCTAATGGAGTTTCTCACGATGTTCCTCAAGGGTCAGCTGACCTTTTTCAGTTCCTTTCAGCTCTTTCCTTCAGTTTGTTGTTACAAAAATGTGCTTTATCTTGTTTGCATCGAATGACATCTTCAAACTCAAGTAGAATCCTCTTGTTCTAATCAATGAGCCTATTTCAGCAAGATGTGTGCATGTGAATACATATATAAAAGGTAATGCATTCTTGCGGTAATGCGTTTTTATCGGTAATGCTCCTGCTTTGGCCGCTCTGAAACACCCTTGAGAGTTGACAGCCCCTTCGCAGAACTACTTATTAACAGTTTTTCTTTGATGGCCCTTAACCCTGGAGGGTTGACCACCTCTTCTGGACAGATCTAAAGTGTTAAGCAGCTTTTTCATCAGCTCAGAGAGCGAGAAAGCGAGAGAGAGAGAGGCTCAGACTTATGATTCATAATACAGGAAACATTTGTGATCCGATTTTGTGTTTGTGTACAGAATTTAGCATAAGTAGAGAGTTGTATTTAATACTACGCATAGTCATCATCATCCTGGCCGTGAGCAGTCAGAGGCTTAAACAACAGGAGAGTTAGTTTAGGTCTGTAAGTCCAGCCGAATCCGAGCGAGTGTGCTTCGCTTAAGCTCCCAAGATGGTGAATTATAGGCTCTTCCTTCATCCTGTGAAGATGTGGCTTTTTGTTTATGGTTCCCCTGTAAGTATTGGTGTAAACCCTCTGTCTGCTCTCAAGCATTATATAGAGTGGGGAAATGAAGGAGAGATTGGATGGAGAAGGAATGCTTGTTTAGGTTTTGCTTGAATGAACCAGAGTCAGATGGGTTTGCAGGTTGCAATGGATGCTTACAAGCAGTGCGGACCGACATGCCATCAGTTAAAGCACTTTGCCGCTGTTGGGTAGTATGAAGGGAACAGATTGCCTGTTCGCTCTGTTGCTTTCAGGGGATCCAACAAGCACAAACATATGCTTTTTGCTTTCTTTTGACATATGAATGCAGCATGTCACAGATGTTCAGTTTCTCTTCATCTACCTGTACACATGCCTTTATAATTGATCAGAAATCTCTCCTCTGATCAAGTGAGCTAGGGAAGGATGTTAGGTAGTACCAGTTAAAGAAAACTAATGCAATATTCTTTATTTTAGATGATAACAATACATTATGATACTTTATGATAAGTAATGGGTGTAATGCATTACTAAGTAATTAATTACTGCCATTTGATTACTTTGAAAAAGTAAGGGAAGTTGTTTAAAAAGTAATTTAATTACTTCTGATGTAAATGCATTCATTATTGTATAGACTTTTGTAAATAATTCTAAAATCAAATTGGATATATATATATATATATATATACAGTATATATACAGTATATATATATACACATACTGTTCATTGGTTAGACATAAAGACATAAAGGCATAAAGGACAAAAAGGACAAAGACATAGAGGACAAAGATTTCGGACAGAGATTGTGACAAAGAGGAAAAACTGCAGACTGTAGCTTAAAGGGTTAGTTCACCCAAAAATGAAAATTAAGTCATTAATTACTCACCCCCATGCTGTTCCAACCCCGTAAGACCTTCGTTCATCTTCGGAACACAAATAAAGATATTTTTGATTGAATCTGAGAGCTGGATCAGTCCTAAATAGACTGCCTAAGGGACTGGCTCTTGACGGCCCATAAAGTCATTAAAGAAAAGGTTTAAATATTCCATGTGCCTACAGTGGCTCAACTATAAGTTTATCAAGCGACGAGAATACTTTTTGTGCGAAAAAAACATAAATAACGACTTTATTCCACTATTCCATTACATCCTTATGGGCGCATGCGCGAGAACTGAGACGAGGACGTTCTCATTCGTCCACTTCTTGTTACCGGCTGCTCACCCCTTAGGAGTTTTACCGCCAACTACCGTATAAAATGAATGATGATCCATATATAAGGCGCTCCGGATTATAAGGAACACTGTCGTTTTTTGAGAAGATTAAAGGCTTTTAAGTGCACCTTATAGTGCGGAAAATACGCAAATTAAAAAGCGTATGTACATCGCGCATCTTCCTCTGCTTGTAAACAGAAAGTTTTGCGCTTCCAGCTATATCAGCACATCATCTTATACGGTAGGGGGCGGTAAAACTCCTAAGCGGTGAGCAGCCGGTAACAAGAAGTAGTCGAAGGAGAACGTCCTCGTCTCAGTTCTCGCGCATGCGCCCATAAAGAAGTAATGGAATAGTGGAATAAAGTCGTTATTTATGTTTTTTTCGCACAAAAAGTAGTCTCGTCACTTGATAAACGTATAATTGAGCCGCTGTAGGCACATGGAATATTTAAACCTTTTCTTTAATGACTTTATGGGCCGTCAAGAGCCAGTCCCTTAGGCAGTCTATCTAGGACTGATCCAGCTCTCAGATTCAATCAAAAATATCTTTATTTGTGTTCCGAAGATGAACGAAGGTCTTACGGGGTTGGAACAGTATGGGGGTGAGTAATTAATGACTTAATTTTCATTTTTGGGTGAACTAACCCTTTAACTCAAATAAAAAAATACCTTAATTTACATTTTTGTTGTTTTGTTTGTTAATTTATGAGAGAGAGAGAGAGAGAGAGAGAGAGAGAGAGAGAGAGAGAGAAAGAGAGAGAGAGAGAGAAATACTTTATTGATCAAATGAGAATCATTGATTGTTTCACCCAGTAAACAGAGGTACAGAGATCTCTGTGCTCCAAAGAGTGGCTGTGCTTGTTAGACTACAAAGATTTTGGTATTGTGAAATTCACATCAAAGTGACTTTTTTTTTTAACACATTCCTTTTTCTCACCTTTTCTTCTCTCTGTAGGTAACATCAACGAGTGCACACTGAATTACTACTTCTTCCTCCTGGCCGCCATCCAGGGAGTCACACTCCTGGTCTTCCTCATTGTGTCAGTGAAGTATGACAAACAGAAGCCCAGAGCAGGGAACCACAGGCAGTCTCTGGCCAACTCATGACCCCCTTCATCATCAGCCAAACTCTCACCTTCACCATTCCTCAACCACCAACCATGTGATAAACTTTAAAGCCTTTAGTATTTCGGAAAATGAGGTAGGATTTAAAATGTTTGACTAAACTTGAATCCCTCTGTGTTTCCTAGAACTGGCCATTCTGTTCTCAAACCAACACGAGGCAATTTGAAAGAAAACAAAACACAAAACTTATGCAATAATTAACTAGAATATTGTGTATGAAATGGTTGAAAACGAGGATTGTTCACTCCATCAGCGAACTGGATTATGAAATGCTTGTTTGTTGTAGTGTGTCGTCTGAACAACACTTAATCACAATTTGGGATTTTTATAGTTTTGACTATTACTGAATTCATTTATACATTGAAAGTGGTTTTTAAATTGTTTACGATGGGTAATAACTAACTACCATTTTGAATTGAATATTTATTGAACCTTTTATTTTTTGTGGTTTATGCTCAAAAAGGTAAGACTATATTCCTGTTCAAATTTATTTAAAATGGTATCTTTCTGTGGTACTTTAAAGAAAAAAATTTTTTTAACGATAAACATTTTTTTAGGCACCATTTGCACTGGATGATGTATCTTTGGTCACTTTATTCATTTTAAATTATTAATACATACAGTGCAAATCGGCTGTATTTTTCCTGTTAATAATAATCGGCTGATGTCTAAAATGGCAAAAGTGGTTGGCTACTCCAACAGTATCAAATGTGAAGTAAAGGAACCCATATAGTTATTGTCTGAACATCAGTGTGAAGTAGTTGATAAAAGTTGCATTACAAACAAACTTTTTAAAAGAAATAATCAGATGCATAATTGTGTGCTTAACAATATGATTGTGCAACTTTACTAAACCTGTGGCATTACAAGCGTTTCTTACTTTTAGATATTTTATCAGGCATTAGTTTTCCATTAACTTGTTTTTAATCATTTTTAAAGGAGTAGTTCACTTTAAAAAAAACAAAAAAACTTTTGCTGATAATTTACTCACCCCCATGTCATCCAAGATGTCCATGTCATTCTTTTTTCAGTTGAAAAGAAATTAAGGTTTTTGATGAAAACATTCCAGGATTTTTCTCCATATAATGCACTTTACTGGTAACCAAATGGTTCAAGGTCCAAAAGACAGTTTCAGTGCAAACTGCAAACTGTTCAAAGGGCTTTAAACGATTCCAGATGATGAATAAGGGTCTTATCAAGCGAAACGATCGCTCATTAAAAAGAAAAAAACTAAATTTAAGTTTTATAAGCTCAAATGGTCGCCTTGCGCTGTTTTGTGTTGCGCGTTCGTGACTCTCCTGTTCGAACTCGTCTATCAAAATGAACGGATCTTTTTTCGTGTCATTTGGTTCATTCAACGAATGAAATGAACGAGTTGACTCGGGAAAAGATTCGTTCATTTTGATGAACGAGTTCGAATAGGAGAGTCACGAACGCGCATCACAGAACAGAGCAAGGCGACCATTTGAGCTTATAAAACTTAAACTTTGTTATTTTTTTTTAAATGAGCGATCGTTTCGCTTGATAAGACCCTTATTCATTGTCTGAAATCTTTTAAAGCCCTTTGAACAGTTTGTAGTTTGCACTGAAACTGTCTTTTAGACCTTGAACCATTTGGTTCCCATTGAAGTGCATTATATGGAGAAAAATCCTGGAATGTTTTCATCACAAACCTTCATTTCTTTTCGACTGAAGAAAGAAAGACATGGACATCTTGGATGAGTAAATTATCAGCAAAAGTTTTTTTTTTTAAAAAGTGAACTATTCCTTTAATTATAAGTAATATAATTACCGGTAATAATGGTTTGTAATGGGTATGATATGAGTGTATTATCTGAGAAATTGTGTGCTGATATCATGACGCATGCACCTTTACAGCAAGAATATCTCTGCAAATGCAAGTGAAAAGTGTTTCCTTTGGAAACACCCGCATCTTGTTTGTAATGATTCATGAGCTTTTTAAGATTGCATTAAGTTTTTTGATGAACAACAAACCTCAAGCTCAGATTGTCGTCAAAATGAGGTTATGTAGTGAAATCACTTTGCACTAATCTCAAGCAAAAATCACATTTATAATTGAGGATTTAGAATCATGAATTTTACATGCATCCTTGTATACCTCAAATTCATAATATCATCATACTGTGTAGAGGGAGTCTTGCTTGATGTCATTTTTTATGCACATTTTGCAACGAAACTCCGTTTTTGCTGCAGTTTTTGCCAACTAATCTAAGTCTGCTGTCCTTGCTATAAAATACAACACTCCCATTATGCTTCTGTTTTCACATACAGGTATTTCCTGAAGTTTGAGCTTCACTTTTTCAGCATCTCGTGCCTTCAATGACAAAAGTTGCTCCACATGACTGTAGTAACATATGCAATTCTTTTTTAATCTCATCCTTACACTTTTACGTTAGGTTGTTCAAAACAATAGTGATCAAAATCCTCTTAAATGTGTTTTGACGGACAGTATTAACAGTAGAGCGGTTTGAATCTTAGAAAAAAATGGGCATCATTCATTTTAACTTTAACTGGGCTTAAATAAATACTGTTTTAAAGCTTATTAAATATGCAAAATGATTCTGTTTTCCCCAAAGAGTCTAAGATCAAACAATGCATTTTTCATGCTTTTGTTTAAAATGACATTTTCTTTATCTGTTGTGGTTGTTGCTGTTCAATAAAATGCATCTGACCTCTAGTGTTTGTGTCGTTTGAAAACGAGTCGCTCGTTTATTACAGCTTTCATTTTCCAAGCTCGTATGCAAACCTTGTGATCTCTCACATTCAATTGCGTTCGTCTGATTTCATCAGACGAGCGTGAAATCAGAACATCATCTCTCTTCGCCCAAGCATATCTCGAATGACGAGTCGTTTCCTAAGACTGTGACCGCCAGCGAGCTGTTTGATCTCCACCGCTCTTTTCCTTCATCGCTCTGAGTCAGACTGTTGACACAACCTATATATTTCTACCGCCTCCATGTTTTTACAGTGTTGTGCTCTATTAAACAGCAGAAGCGCTGAAGGTGTAAGCACAGTATATCAACGATGGATACTTCATCATGTGACTCTGTAAGGTCAGTGTTCCTAAATATGACCCCACTTGTCTTGTAAGAGAGAAAGATGTCTCAAAACAGGATTGCCTATGTGCCTTATCTTGAAAATATCTAATATCTCTTAATGGACCATTCAACATGGCAAATCTTATTGTTGAACAGGCAGGCTTCTAATGCAGAGCTCTTACTATAGCGTGCAGTGCAAATTTAATTATGATAATTTAATGAACATTACTGGATGCTGTTTGAAATTAAAAGTTTCTAATTTAATTGTAAAACATAATAAACAGATTGCCATAATGTATAAACTATGCGTCATCAATGTGTATGTACTGTGTACAGTATATGTGAGCATGTTTGATATGTGTTTACATCCACATAGTACATCTGACATGGCTGACTTCATTTCAGACATTGACCTCTCAGATATTATGTTCTTATGTGTGCACATGCCTGTGAACCATAAAGCTGCTCTGTGGGATGTTGTAAATATGCATGTACCGGAAGGTGAGAGGTCAAGAGATGGTGTCATATCAGCAGGGCATTAACAAACATGACCTGACCTTCTGCTGCTGTACAGTATATGTGTGTACAGGACATAAACAGGATTTTCTAATTGATCCTAAATCAATCCTTATACTTGAATTTATGGGAAATATGATTACCATATTAATAGAATAACTGCAATCCAACTGTTGGCAGCAAACTAAGCTAGCCCCTATGAGTGAGAATAATTTTGGCTAATTTTGCAGACCTGTTACTCATTCTGGCATATTTATATCAGCAGCTCAGCCATAAGAGAAAGTGTAGTCAACTTTGATGATCAATCACATTATAGCTTTAATTGCTGATGATGTTGTAAAACAGTAAATCATGACGCTGTCTTGTTTGGAACGCTGCGCCCTCCGGAGGTCACCTTTGTCTGCGGTTTCAATTATTGAGGCTGCTTCAATTCAGAAAAGTAAAGGCCATTGCACACCGAGTCCGAAATTTTCGTATGTGTTTTTTCTTATGGCTCTGAATTAGAGCCCGACGATAAAGGATTTTGAAGGCCGATACCGATACAAATATTTTGGGGTTTTAAAATCCGATATTCCGATATATCGGCCGATATATATATTTTTTTTTATTAAATATTGTTGGATTTCACACACGTGTAAAAGAAAAGCTAACTTTTCTGCACAAGATGCGTTTGATACTTTTTCTCTATGTCTATGTCTTCACTCCTTGCAAGTATAACTTACATTTTACAATGCAGGGACTGTAACTAGAGATATGGTAGTTATAAATACAGTAATCATTACTTTATTTAGGCAGAAAAAGTTCATTGTGGTTTCCAAGCTCATTAATGTTAACGTTAGCGGTCTTCCACTGATGATAGTGGCATTAGCTATAGCATTGTGGTTAGCTAGTCTATGATGAGCCATAATTTAGCAATAGATAACATCATACTGCAAATTGTAAAACATACATTTTCAATGTAACAGGCCAAGGAGAGATGATTGAAGCGTGTTTCGTCCGTTTTTATTTTATTTTTTAAATATTCATTTATCGGCCATTATAACTGCCGATACCGATATTTTGGAAAATGCCTAATATCGTCCGATAATATCGGTCTGCCGATATATCGGTCTGGCTCTACTCTGAATTGTCAAAAAACACTCAAACACCATTCAAAACTCCATTCAAACTGCTTGTTACAGATGCGAAAAATGCAGAAAATCGAACCCGATTAGATTTTTTTTTATGACGGACGAAAGTTTTAGAGGCAGTGTGCAAGCGTGATTGACATAACGTCAGGTCGTATTTATTTTTTAACATATGAAAAATTTCGGACGCGAATTTCAGACTCGGTGTGGAAGGGCCTTAACCATTAAATTCGGTAAGAGCGAAATTGCAATCATTTAAGGCTCACAAGGAATAAAGGCCCTTGCACACTGAGTTCGAAATTCGCGTCCGAAATTTTCGCATGTTAGAAAATAAATACAACCTCACATTATGTCAATCACGCTTGCACACTGCCTCCGACAATTTCGTTCGTCATTGAAAAAAAAAACGAAGTGGGTTCGATTTTCTGCGTTTTTCGCATCCGTAACAAGCAGTTTGAATGGTGTTTTGACAATTCACAGCCAAAGAATCCCAAATACGGAAAAAAAATAAAAATGCATACGAAAATTTCGGACTCAGTGTGCAATGGCCTTAAAACTAAGTTTTATAATGTTTGGACCTCTTAAGGGCACAGTCTTCCAAATGAGACAATGGACCCTTTTCACATTTCCGCTCGTTCTTAGGCCCCGTCCACACTACTGCGTTTTCGTTTAAAAACGGAGACCTTTTGCTACGTTTGCACCTCCCGTCCACACTAAAACGGGAAAAACGAAGACCTAAAACGGAGAAGTTTAGAAACGCAGCAGCTGCGTTTTGTGTTTTGAAACTCCGGAGGGCGTTTTAGTGTGGACGAGACAAAACGGAGGAGTTTACAAACGATGACGCAGAGGCTCACGCTCGGCTCTATGATTGGGTGTCATCAGTCATGACGTGTCCTTCCCTGATTCGCCAACCACTGTTTACACCGGCGCGCGCATGCCCAGTGTTGGTGAATGGTCACGTGATCTGCGTTTTCAGTCGTTTTAATGTGGATGGAGATCAATTCTAATACGCAGACAAAACGCTGGTGTGGACGGAGATCGTATTCGTTTTAATTCTCCGTTTTTAAACGAAAACGCAGTAGTGTGGACGGGGCCTTAGAAGCAAAAGCCATCATGGTTGGGTAAACTTCCAAAGTGATATTGATTATGTCTGAACTTGTCTTAAGACCATTGCACACTGAGTCCGAAATTTTCGTATGCGTTTTTTTTTTTTTTTTTTTTTGTATTCGTGTTTCGGTGGCTCTGAATAG